ATCCCATACTAAATAGAAGAAGCAAAGTCACTCTGTCGAATAAACTACTTATGTACAATACTATCCTACGCCCCATCCTTACATATGGCTGTCCAGTTTATTGCTCTATGTCAAACTGTCACTATTTAAAACTGCAAATTGCACAGAACAGATGCCTTCGGCTGGCGCTGGGCTACGGCCGTTATGCCAGGATTATAGACATGCATAGACAAACAGACACACCAATGATTAAAGATTACATATTAAAAAGAGCCGAAAATTTCTACAAACGGTGTCTTCCCGATGATGTCAAGGATAATATCCTAAACATTCACCGGGGAGATGGCGTGCGTAGAAAACACGGCTGTATACATGCAAAACTCGACATTTACAGATTAAGACGCTAGACTACACCATCCTTCCTTCCCAACATCGACAGAAATACTAAATAACAGCACTCCAAGACTAGATATTTACACGAACTAGTCGGACGGCAGACCGAACGATGAAACGACCCACAGAGCAAATTCAGCGAGCCATATACACCCGCAGTTTATGCTCTGGGGGCAGTTTCATCGATCACCAAGCCTGGGGGCTGTAATTTAAAACATAGACTATACAAGAGACCCACGTACATACAAGGACAACCCTGTTTTTTCTAGCTTTTTCAGGGGACAAAAACCAGAACAAAGACACGACAAATCCTCAAATAAATTCCCATTCATGATCCCAAAATCCAATAAAATCCCTTAATAATACCGTTCAGGTAAGGAGTAAGGGCTGCTATATTTGACAGTAAAATGAGTCAAAAATAAATTTAATGGAGGGTTACACCTCCCTGGCCCTAAAGGCCCGCGCGGGTTCGGTAGTGTGATATATTTTATTTATTATTTGACATGTAAATATATTTCTTTAATGTAAATAAAAGTTTTCTAAAGTAAAAGTGACTGACTGGATAAAAAACAAAAGGAAAATAATACGTTACAAAATGTTGCGTTAATTTATTTTTGTGATCGAATGATGTACATACACATTTAAATGTTTTTTTATTACAGTGAATTAAGTTACATTTTTAATTAAATTTTTCATTACTGTGAATTGTTAAATGCTTTCGTAAATTAGATTTTTGATTAAATCTTTTGAAACAAATATCGCATTTAAAAAATTTTACATTATTGTGAATTATTAAATGTTGATGTAAGTTAGATTTGCTATTAAATCCTTTGGAACAAATGTCGCATTTAAATAGTTTTTTATTAGTGTGAATTATTAAATGTTGTTGTAAGCTAAATTTTCGATTAAATCCTTTGGAACAAATGTCACATTTAAATGGTTTTTCATTATTGTGAATTACTAAATGTTGTTGTAAACCAAATTTTCGGTTAAATCCTTTGGAACAAATGTCACATTTAAATGGTTTTTCATTATTGTGAATTATTAAATGTTGTTGTAAGCCAAATTTTCGATTAAATCCTTTGGAACAAATGTCACATTTAAATGGTTTTTCATTACTGTGAATTATTAAATGTTGTTGTAAATTAGTTTTTCGATTAAATCCTTTGGAAGAAATATCACATTTAAATGATTTTTTATTACTATGAATTATTAAATGTCTTCGTAATTTAGATCTTAAATTAAATCCTTTAGAACAAATGTCACATTTAAATGATTTTTCATTACTGTGATGTGTTTGTATGCTGGAAACGTCATTGATTTTTAGAGAAACTTTTCTTGATCTATTTTTTACTACATGAATAAATTGGTGCCGAAAAAAATTCATTTTTATCATAAATCTTCCACAAAATTCACAAACCACGAAGTCATTCGCAAAATGTCCGTTGATATGTTTCGATCTTGATTTAGCAGAACGGAAATCTGCAAATAAAAAAATTCTGTTATACAATTAAAAAAAAAAAAAAATAACAAATTGCCAACATTTTATTAAGTACTTTGTTCATATTATATAATTGTCATATTTAAATTATTGCTCATATTAAAAAAATATATGTATATAAAAATGTTTTTGGAGTAATGTGAATGCTGTAAAGGGTATTATGGTAAAATTTTTATAATGGTACAATCGCCTGTTCTAAGAGATTGTCAAAAAACTATTAAATATGACATAGTAAATCCAACACTATTTGATAGCCACGGAAATATTCTAACAGGCATATAAAATGTAAGATTCATATGATTCATACTTTTTTATAAATTTTTTTTATTTTATAGCCGAAATCGTCATTTCGGGAACGGGACCAAATTCATATTTAAAGTTCCACACCCTGTGGTCCGATTACCTTTCTCGAATTAAATAAATAAAAGAAACTAATGCATTCCTTGGATAGACTTTATTTTGCTTAATAAAGGTGTATTTTAAATTGCCCTGATAAAATCATATTTTTGATTGTCTGATTTTTTTAAGAGCTATGACGTCTTGCCAAAAGAACAACACGGTTTTATTAAAGGCCGATCCACATTAACAAACCTAATGACCTGTTTAAACGATTGGACTACGTCTATGGACAATAAAGAGCCTGTCGATGTCGTATATCTTGATTTCGCTAAAGCCTTTGATCGTGTTCCCAAAAAGAGATTGCTTTATAAATTGGAAAAAGCTGGCATTCGCGGCTCTTTACTTCTCTGGATAAGTGATTTTTTGTCAAATCGCATCTTCAAGGTAAAAGTTGGACAGATGTTCTCGTCAGAGTATCCAGTTCTAAGTGGTGTCCCTCAAGGCTCTGTCATAGGGCCATTACTATTCCTGGTATACGCTGCAGATCTAGGCAAAGACTTAAATTCTAATATTTCGTGTTACGCTGATGACACTAAGCTATACTGTAATCCTGTGACAGATTCTACCCAGCTACAAAAAGACCTTGAAACTATTTCAAACTGGTGTGACACCTGGCTGCTTCCTTTAAACGCGGAAAAATGTGTCGTCCTGCATATAGGAAAAAATAACCCGTGCGTGAACTATTATCTAAACGGTAGTGCGTTAGCAACTGTGAACTCCTATAACGACCTGGGACTCATTGTAAACTCTTCATTAACGTGGTCAGAACACATATCAGCGGTATGTAAACGTTCGAACTCAATGATCTACCTATTAAAAAAGTCCTTTACGCGTGTGAACTTTCAAACATTTTCTAAACTTTATACAACTTACGTTAGACCGTTGATGGAATATGTCGGACCTGCGTGGTGTCCTGATTTGGTTTCTGATCAAAAAAGATTGGAAAATGTTCAACGTTGCGCTACTCGAATACCTTTCGGCAGAATCAGACCATCGTATGAAGAACGGCTTAACATGGCGAATTTGTGTTCATTTGCCCACAGAAGATTAAGGGGTGATTTGATTGTGACATACAGAATTCTTCATGGTACTTTTTCATCCAACCTCTATAGTATACTCCCACGAAATACAGATGAGCGCCTCCGTGGACATGAATATAAGTTGAGCAAAGAATATTTTAAAACACGTACCCGAGAAAACTTTTTTTGTAATAGAGTTTTTTATACTTGGAATAATTTACCCTCGAGTGTTGTTCGCGCACAGTCAGTAAATGTATTCAAAAACCGACTCGATGACTTTTTTAACGAAAACTAAAAGTTTATTTTTAGTGCTTTGTTTGCATTATGTTATTTGCTAATTACTTATTTAATAATTGTCTTTGTTATTGAACTTGTAATTTTGGGCTTAATAGGATTCATTCCTCAGCCCTAATTAGTTTGTAATAATAATAATAATAAAATGTTTTATGGCCAGAACGATTTATTCTTGTTTAAAATAAGGAAAAATTAAACGCCACTTTACCTTTAATGATTTATTCGTGTTTGGGATACGAATGTGTGAGTGAGTTTTTGTATCAGAAAGCATAGTCTTTACCCACAAAAGTTATATTAGGAACTATCGAGATAGAATTAATGTAAATTTGGCGTGTCAAAAATTAATTTCTTAAGCCATCATATTACTCATCATGGAATTTTACCTCCTGAAGATAGAATTGAAATAATTCGAAACTTTCCTACACCACAAAATATCAAACAATTGCAACGTTTTAAAGATATGATAAATTTTTATCATTGCTTTTTGTCAAAACTTATTGTAGATTATTTGGTTCCATTACACGCTTTTATCACAAATTTGCAAAAACAAAAAAATAAAAATTTTACTGACTGGTCTCAAGATTGTGAACAGCTTTAATAAAATCAAAAATGATTTAGCAAATGTCACTTTACTTTAACATTATAAGGAAAACGCTCAACTCTTATTAACTGTAGATGCCTCGGCACTCGCTGTGGGACATAGATATAGAAACCAGAAGATGTAACCACTGTGATCGACAACAATCAGTCACATTCTAAGCTAATGTGGTGGATAAGATTACAGTTGATTTACCATATTGCCAAGTCTATCTAAATTACTTTCTAATAGTTTTCAGCAAATACGAAACCTCTAATATTCCTGTTAAATATTGTTAATATTAACTGAATTATTAAGTACGTGTAAGATTGGGTTGAAGCCTAAACGTGGCAACCGCGCTTAGCTGCATCCCATACATAAATTGTTCATGACCTATGAAGTGTTGTTCCTTGCTGCACACTGCACACTTTACCGTAAAAATGCACCGCGGCACCTCTCCCTATAAAGTGGCACTATTTGTTTTTTTCCAAAAATCTTGCCTGCTTGCCGAAATTCGCTTAAAGAAAAAAATAATGCAATAAAACAAACATACCTACACAAATCCTTCAGTATTAAATTTTGGATTTAAAGATTTTGTATTATAAGTTGCCTATCCGGCGTTTTACGGGCGACGCTGCCTACTCGATAATTTGGATAACAACAGCCTATCCTATCTGCTGCGCGTAGCTGCTTGTGACCTTGTGAGTTGTGAGTGGCGGGGATTTACATAAGTCGTTTTATTATTTTTCTTTTATCTACGCTTGGTTGCGCAGTTCTTTTGTTTTTCGTTGGCCGGTAAGAGGTAAAAGTGTTTAGCTCACACAATAAGAATAATAAGATGGAACAGGTCATGCAAAAGTAAGTAATAAGTACCGTTATTTTTTTGCTGTAGTTAGAAAAGTAGGATAAAAACAGAAGTTTTCCTGTTTCGTATAGGATGTTGTAGACGAAGCGCTCTTAGCATTTCTGTTGAGATTCATTTTTTAATGAAATTTTATTGCACAGGTTCTCATTATTTTTATTCGTTATTGTTCTGTTGTAAAATCATCCATAATAAATTATTTATATTTTATTGCGCTGGACTAATATTCGGCATTTGAAGATATAAATTATTGATAGCGCTCATAATAGTTTATTTGGGTAATTAATCAATACTTTATTTGCAAAAATATTTCTTTATCTACTAATTAATTAAGATGGGTGAAAACCAGCAAAGAGAGTTTAAATGAAGAAAATAAAACAGAACTAAATCCCGAGTCAGACCATGAAGGCCACATATCAAAGTCTCCTGTTGCAGGTATATCAGGGACTTCCCAAAGAAGTCTTAGTATCTGTGAAACATCAAGTAGTAGTATAAATATTATCAATAATGAAGAAATGCTAGATGAAAGTCTTGCTGAGCCATCTACATCTACCAATACAACCTCAAAAAGATATGTGCAGAGAATAAATTTAAGTAAATTAAAAGATAAATTTAATTGGTTGGACAGAGATAAGTCTTTTTTGTTTTGCAAAACATGCAATCTAAAAATTTCAGGACAAAAATTTCATTTAAAAAGGCATGAGGAGTCAGGTTCGCACCAAAGAAGCACAAAAGCGGCTAAAATTACTCCACAGATCACCACAATTTTAACTAATCCGGCAAAACAAAAAATGGAAAATTTAGTTAAAGAAGCAGAATTGTGAATGAGTGCATATTTATGTGAACATAAATTAGCTTTTCTTTTGTCTGATACACTGCCCCCATTTCTACAGAATATTTTCCCCGAGTGGCCATTGCACAAGGAATGAAAATGAAAAGAAAAAAAGCCACTCAACTTGTTGTTGGCGTCATTGCTCCATATTTTAAGCATGAAATCGCCAAAGATTTGCAAAGCAACATGTTTTCAATCATTATTGATGAGACAACAGACATATCTACGAAGAAATTATTAATTTTACTTGTAAGATATTGGAAAAATGGGTTGATTCAGGACAGAGTTTTTGATTTAATAGAAGTGAGGGACGCATCTGCACAAGGAATGTTTAACTCCTTAAAACATGTTCTGGATTTCTATCAAATACCCTATACAAATCTTTTAGGCATTGCAGCTGATAACGCAAGCACTATGATGGGGCATCTTAATGGTGTTCAAGCTAAATTAAGGGTTATTGCTCCACATATACATGTCCAACGATGTGCATCACATTCTTTGCATCTATGCTCATCAGCTGCAGCGAAAAAGTTGCCTAACAATGTGGAACAATTTACAAGGGATATATATGCTTACTTTAGTCATAGCAGCAAAAGGCAGGAAGAACTGGAAGAGTGTCAAGTTTTTGCGAAGGAAAATCCTGCAAAAATGTTATATCCGAGCCAGACAAGATGGTTATCTTTGAGAGTAAGCTTATCTAAACTAATATATAACAAAATAAATAATTTCTTATTCTTGTTTGTAGGCGGTCGTTAATCGAATATTGGATCATTGGAACTCATTAATTATATTTTTCACAAGGGCTGCACTGGAGGACAATCTTCCCACAGCTAAGTCAATACTGGGTGCACTGAAAAATGACATTTACAAAATGTATCTCCTGTTTTTTAGTTACGTGCTTGAATTAGTTACTAAGGTAAACTTAGAATTTCAATCAGAACAACCAAAATTACCCATTTTTTTAGAAAGAATGACCACGCTTTATAGGATAATATTGAAAGGCTTTACTAAAAAACATATATTAGAGACAGTCCCTTTGTCAAATATTAATGTATGCCACCCTAAAAATTATTTAGAAATTTATAAAATGTTTTTTGGTGCCAAAGTAGACACTATTTTAAAAGCAGAAACGATAGACAAAGGCGATGTTCATAATTTTAGATTGAAAGCTATGGAATTTTATATAGAATTAGCTAAACAGATTAAAGAAAGGTTTAATTTTGAAGACGAAATTTTAAAATATGCATCTTATTTCACACCACAAAGAACCTTATCTGGCGAAATTCTCTCAATTGCCCAATTTGTAAATTTATTTCCAAATGTTACCATTGATATTGAAGCGGCAAATACAGAATGGCTTTTAATTAGCGACATTGCTAATAATTCTATTGATTTGGCTTCAGATTTAGATAATATATGTAAGTTTTGGGGTAAAATAGAAAACATAAAGAACAGTTTAAATGAAAATATGTTTCCAAATTTAATGAAACTGGTGAAAATAATATTATCTTTACCTAATTCGTCGGCAGCAGCTGAAAGAGCGTTTTCAGGCCTTACTTTAGCTAAAACCAAATTAAGGAATAGATTGTTAATTTCAACTTGTTCAGCTATTCTTATAACAAAAGACAACTTAAGAAAAATCGAAAATGGTTCCCTGGGTTGGAGGCCACCATTATCAATAATAAATTATAATTCTCACGCTATTGAAAAAATAAATATTGAAGAAGAATAATGCATTTTGAAATATTCAAGTTTCTTAAGTATACGATTGTTTATTTTTGTCGAATTTATCTGTTCTTTTTTGTTTTACGTTCTTACAGAGTTTACTTTTCAGTTATTTTGTGTTTGTTGTAGCTTTCATTTAGTTAATAAATATGTTTTCAATAAATAACTAGCCATTGGGTTTGAGTTCTTATTACAATATCATCGCGTCTTCCACAAAGCATATTAATATCCTAGATTTGAACTTTATTTATAAAACTTGTCTAAAATCAAACATATAAATAAATCATTTAAATTTCCCTTTGAAACAAAAAATAAAATTCCTGCCAGTTATTGTTGCGTCAGTGCGTTTTCTCATAACATAAAATACATGGAACGAATCCAAAGAAGTGGAGAAGGTAGAACGATAAGGTACCGTCTGCGCAACCATCACGAGTGTAGAAATTATGCGTGATTCAGCCTTCCACTCTTACACACGTAAATGACAAGGAGAGGTTGCCCTAAAGCACTGTAAACAAATTCCAGGATTGACTTTATTCAGCGATTATGTTCATGTTCAGCTCTGTTTTTGTTTTTGCTGTTGTAAGCATTTTTGGCGTCAATTCTTTGTTATCTTGCTTATATTTGTAATTTTTTATGTTTTTATTCCTATTTAGTATTAAATTATACTTGTTAATTATTTTTCGATGCACTATTTTATAATTGTTGCACAAAATGTTGTTAAACCGTCCCTGAATCTTGTTTACAAAATGTGCAAAACGAGGCGAGTTCGGATAGAGAGGGGCTGGAGCGGGACAAATTTTAGGGTGCTTTTAAATGACATTTAAGCGTGTTAAACTGTCACTAATCGGACTAAACCGAATGCTAAAAGGGTCGTTTGGAGTTAAAAGTGTTAAAGGAGTAAAAGGAACTTGGCAGACCGAACGCAATGACGAAATTGTGCATAGGGACCGTGCGTCATGACTTTAACACCAACTGGTGACAAAAATGTGAACTTTATGGGGGGGATTTATTAATGTTTTATACGGCATTAATTGTTTAGTAATTATTAATTAAATAAAGTCGAATTATTTTCGTAATATCATTATCGAAAAAACTTGTTGCATTCGTGGATGTACAAACACATCACTTTGGAAACCTGGATTTGATTCGATAGTAAAGAAATTTTTTAAATTTCCACAGAGCACACTTTGCGTCTCACACCCAATGATATACATAATTACATATATTGCTTATCCATAACGTAAATCAGACGACGGCGTATTTCATTGGGCAAAGTTTTCTTTTTATCTACAATCAATTTTGAGCACTTAATTGTAAACAAATCATTTACAGAACCGGTTTAGAAATTAGAGTCTTTAGTGTTTTCTTGTCATTAAGATTTTTACACATTTAAATAAACATTTTATAAAAATATAATTTTACAGATAATTAATGGTTTATTCTGTTAATTAAAATTAATGAAGAATGTTACTGTGAAATTAGAATGTCTAATTTGACAAAAATATCATGGCCCTCTATACAATTTATTAACTATTTTTCATTTATCACTAAAATAAACAAATCATAATTAATACATTTTAATTACTGTCAAAAGAGATTGCAACAAACTTTAAAATATTAAAAATCCACTGATTTTTTGTAAATTTTTTTAGTAACATTACCATTACATTAACATTACTTAGAATAATAGATAAATGTCCAATTACAACTCTTAACAAAAGTATTTATTATATCATATCAAAGTTGTTTACATTAAATTTAAAAGTTGTATTACATATTGAAATGATGTGTTTCATATAGTGTTATTTCTGAAATTAGAGTGGTCTAAAATTATTTACATTCATGTTATAAAAATTGTTTAGATCTCTTGTGTCTTGAAGTAAAACTTTAATTATTTTTTTCTTTTAAATATTAAAAGGCTAAATTTTATTTTAAAACACATTTGGGCTAGAACGGCACTAGGAAAGGCAATACATCAATACGCTTTTCGTAATCTTTTTTATAGGTGGATGAGGAATCTATATAATTGTGCATACATTGGGTGTCTCATAAACATCAAAGGTGGTTGAATGACATTTCGACTGACATAAAGCTAAAAAGAATTATTATTCTCAATCTTTTTTTATTAATTTACATTTTTTAAATGTTATTGTAATACTTTTAAATTGAGTGTTAATAAATACCGATATTTTGACATTGGATACACTAGCTTAAGGTACAACTTTACAATTTATTGTCACTTAGCCATTTAAATTCTTTTGCTCAAAAAGTATATACATGTCCAGATTTTAATAATTTTTCACATTTTATATCATTTTGACCATGTATATGATTGTTTGTTACGGGCCGGTATCTATATTTAACTATATTTAATATTTTAAAAGATAACCTGTATTAAGTACCTGCAATGTTTACCCCAATTAATTCTAAAATTAAACCCTAGAGAGGGCTACCTTCGGCAGTAGTGCTGCCTCTATATTTCACGCACGGTCCCTATAGTGTCCAGACCATTGATAAGGCAACGTAAGGATACGTCATATGCATTATTTTTGATATACAAAAGTGGGACCGGTAGGCGTGGCTTTTGCACTCACTAAAATGGCGGAAGAGCAGAACCGGATTTACAAGTTTTTATTGTACTATTTCTGGTTAAGTATCATTATTTGAATTATAAAAAAAATATTTTCCTTTTTATTGACATTGACTTAAAAGGTGGTGGAAGGCCGAGGTTATAAAAGAAGGGGATTTAAAAGCTTAAATATGCCCGGTTTTCAGCCGAGAAGTGCTGAATAAAGTAAATGAAAGAAATAAAATATAACTGATTTAATTATCACTCAAGTGGCTATTAAGCGCTGGAGAATATATTATTTGCAAAATTGCAACTAATCAATGACCATGATATAACTAACTTGGGGCCGATTCCACCATTGGGTTTAATGAAGTTTAAAATGACATTTTTACATAAAATGTAATTTTAATCTTCAATTAATAGTTTAAACTTTAACACAATGGTAAAATTAACCCTAAAGCGTTGAAATCATTCACAGAAAAAATAAATAATACATTTTTGGTTCACCTAAGCGACAAAAGTAAACAGAGTTCGATTTATTGGATTAATCGTCACACGTTTGCACTAGGGCACATAAATAGCTCAATCTTTAGTTTTTCGTTTTTCTATGAGCCCAATGCTTTCTGTCTTTAATCGGAAAGTACAAGGTCGCAAATGTCAAGTAATCTAACCTTACTTTAATTAACAGCTTTCTCGAAATTAAGAACAAATGTTCATACACTAAAAGCTCGATAATCAGATACGAAACTTAATGCAAGGCTCGCGGAAAATGGCTAATAAGCAATCTCTGTGTAGGTAGATGCACTATTCAGGAAATCAAAATGTGGATTAATCTTACTTGGTCTTGGTACTTTTGTAGATTCAGACTAAAAGGTGTATATCTTCATGCAAGACATTCAGTAAATCAGCGAAGCCACAACCAGCGGTGTGCAGGTGCACTTCTAACAAATGTAAAATATGAAGTGATCTTACTTGAGACCTATAGATCCAATGACGATATTATGGTAGTTGGTTTGAGCTGGGCTTCTCACCATCTGCAGAGATTATGGCTACTTATGTAAAGGCCTACCGTAGTAACACACAACATGCACCACAAGCGTGCCGGTCCAATTTAATTGGTCTATGCACAATAATCATGCCTGTATGATTGAAAGTCAGACAAAGAATGTGAAGATAAAGTTGAAGTCTCAATCATAGTTAAAGTCACAGATGAAGTTAAAGTTAACAGCAAAAGAGTTGAAATTATAGGCTGGTGATAAAGAGAGGCCAACATCTAGGTAATAAATGTTTATCGAGTTAGGAAAAGTATCCATTGTAAGCGCTTTTCTTGACCACTAAGGTAAAAACCAGAATATTTCCTAATACACAATTTCTTCGCTAGGCAAAATAAGAAATAAATTTGTGACAGTACTTCCCAAGTGTTTTTAAAAAAGCTCTAAAAACAAAATTGACGAAAATGGCCTAATCCAAACTTGAACATTAAAGATAAGTATCTTACTGTAAAATAAGTAAAGCCCCGTTGTTGACTAAATGGTTGAATAATTCATTACCTAGGTGGAGGTAGAACAGGGACTAGAGTTTAGCAGAAAAAGTTACTAGAAAAGGTGAACAAAACAGGACTGGGGCATATGAACGTCAAGCAAATACTGTAAATGCAAATAATGTGTGCTGTGATTAAATAAAAGTGTACAGGGAATAAAGTTTTAATATTTTCTTATCCATATCTATGAGTAATATTTATTTTTAATACTAGACAAACGGTTATGATTTTATTGCTAGTCTCATTAAAAAAAGACTAATGTTATTTTTTTTTCGATTTATGGCCAAGGTGTATATACCTAATAGTCTCAAGCTTGTGTTTAAATTCTCAATAATGTGGGTTCTGTGTAGGCTTTGTTACTGTTTCCCAGCGCCACTTCAGGAACAGCACTGTTAATTATTAGAACCCAACAGTGAATGGTCGAGTGGGGAATCGTACCAAGGCATTAGAAAATATTTTTATTATTATTAGAACTTATATACAGTGTGTTCATAATATGCACTGTACAAACTTAAATATTATATTCCTGAATTCATTTCAAGCATAAAATGTCCTATGAACAAATATCCAATTCTACATGGTTACCAAGCTGCAAGAGTTTAAATATCAAAAGATATATTAACACAGTATGCCATGTGTTCGAATATGTCGAAACACAGCACTGAATATTTGGTGCTTTGGAACTTGTCGGTATGGAAATCGTCGCTTGTTGAGGAGCTGGATAATCTCGAAGCAAATGTTTGTATTGTATTTTCAACTGTCTCCACTTTAAGGTTCCTATGAAGATCAGTATTGTGGCAGTACCATGGTGCATCGTCGATGTTCCTTAATACTTTATTCTGGAAACGTTGAATAACTTCGATGTCACTTTTACTGGCACATCCCCAAAGCTGGCGAA